TTTTTTTTTTTTTTTTTTCAGTTGTTTCCTCCCACCCTCACCCGCCCCACACTGACTGCAGGATAATAGAATCCTAGTTATGAAAGCTAGTCTTATGATTAAGGTTTTACTATCACTGAAAACATCTCTGGTTTTAATCTATTGCTCAGGCCTCTGACCAGGGCCTATTCTGGGCTTCCTGTCAGCTGGCTATGCTCATTGCTTATCCCAGCAGCCCTGAATCTGTCCACTTCCAGAAGTCACTGGACCTTTTGGATACTCTGATTCACCTTCAAACTGGACTGACTCCCCACACCTTCTACCAAATAAATTACCAGGAGCATATGTACCACCCAGGGGACTCCTCTATTCCAGGTCTAATTCTTTGCAGCCTGTCCTGCAGTTGACCTTGGCCAAATCCTACTGTGAAGCAGTGCAGGAAGAGGCTAAGCTTTAATATTAGATGAAGGGATGAATCATAACCTATATTTAGGAGCAAATAATATTTTCAAGAGGGAGAAGACTATGAGTTTTCTATTTTTTTTAGCTTCACTTGATAAAATGTAAAATAGAAACATTATTTTGTATCAAATATTTACTTTCAAACAAAAATTTCAAGCATCTCTGTTTTCCACTATCTTTCTTCAGGGGACTGAATTGGTGGCTTTCCATATACTTTGAGATTGACTAGAATTTCCTTTTGTAATGTATTCTTTCCCTCATTTTACATTTTAAGGTGCTGCACAATGGCCTCATTATGGAAATGAAACATCCGACTGTGGGAAAGATATCAGTCCCAGGTTTGAAAATTTTTATTTTTCTTAACATCTTCCTCAATAAATTGTTCCCTATGATGATCCCCCCAAACAGCTTGTCAAGACATAATCCAAAGTTTTTGTTTTTGATAAAAGTTAGAATCACACATACAAGAATGCATGCTGGGGCTACAGAATTGTCTTTGCCCTAACAAATGTCTAATTGTCTCACCCACAAAAAATGCTTGTATCACCTAACTCTATTTCTGTAATCATGTACTCACAAAGATACATTATATAATTGCCAGCAGATAGATAATGATAGATATGGCAAATATTGTGAAATTACATGTGGTTCATATGAGAATGAGAAAGGAAGCCAGGATCGATAGAGGTGGCGTTCAATGGAGGCTACAGGCTGCTTGGGCTAGGACATTTGCTTTCTGAACCATGGTTTAAGGTCTCAATCCAAAACCCTTAGTCTTGGAGAGGGAAGATGGCGGCACTGTGAGAAGCAGCAGAGTGCGGCCACTCCCAGCCACGGACTTGATTTGCTCCTAAAATACTTCATTGCCAGCTTGAAAAAACCAGGGAAATATACCTGAGTGGATAGAGTGTGAGTAGGGAGCACTGAAGAAACATCATAGAGCCTGGTAAGAGAGGGGGATGTAGAAAGGGGGAGTCCCCCCTGAAGCCTGTGCTGGGCTCCAAGCCCCCGAGGCTTGCAGGCTGCAAAGCTCCCTTCCCTCGGGAGTGCGGACCAGCCTCCAAAAGTGGGATCTCACACCTGAAGTGCAGGAGAGGGGAAGGAGTGCCCCACGCACAGGGCAGAGGGGCCCAGGGGAGCGGTGTGCCTGTGAGGAGGAGATGGCGCCTTCCTAGGAAACAAAACTTCTAATGGAGGACACGACCGGTGTCTAATGCTCAGTGTGCCAACCATAGAAGGGCTGTCCCAAAGTGTGTGGTGCCTGAGTGGCAAGGGACCAGAGGTTGGGACTGAGCAGCCACACACAGGGACCCTCTACCTCCCTGTAAGGCATTGTTGAGCCCCAGAAAGCACTGAATCTGCGTGGCACAGGGGAGGGGCAGAACCCTCCCTCCCTGAGCTCCTGGTGCAGAGAGGCTGGGATCAGTGACCAGCCTTGAGGAGCGCCAAGGTGGTGTGTGAAGCTACCCCAGCTTTGCGGAGATCAGTGGTGCGGGGAGCTGCTTAGAGCTAACTTTGGGTCCCCTCCCGCTGGATGCCTTGGCATGTGGGTGGCAGGAATTTGCAGGGCAGACTCTCTGCCTGTGTGTTGCTTTGTGTTTTTTTGGGGTCTGATCCCGAAACTGGCTCCCACCTTCCCAGCGTGCAATGGGCGGACAAACCAGCAGAAGCTGGGATTGGGGTCTGCACAGTACACTGTTTAAAGGGTGGGCTTGGTGTGACCAGCCAACCAGAGCTGGGAAGGAGGGGTGGAGCCTGCCTGCCTCTCCTGCAGCCTGGAGCACCACCCCCAATAGGAAAGGGGCAGGTCCAGCTCACTGAGGCTCCAGACACCCCCGAAGGGCACAGTCCTGAAGGGGAAGGGAGAGCAGCTCGCAGGAGGACATTACAAGAATAAGACTTTCAGGGACTGTTGTTTTGGAACAGGAGGAAATGCTGAAAACCCCTGCTGGGGGCCGGGCAAGCAAAGAGCTCACGGAAACGTTCTTTAATCAAACCCACTGAGCCTAGGCTGCCGAAATGGCCCATACAGAAAAGGCAACAGGCTGAAATCAGTCTGAACCTGCAGCGGGACAGTGCGTGGGGAACTAGAATCAGAGGACAGGGTAGGGACCAAAGAGCTGGCTGTGGAACAGAGACTAAATTCCCCACAGTGAGTGCCTGACAGTGAAAGCTTTAAGTAAGGGGAGTGATACCCTGGGCTACACTAGACATCTTGCACCCTAAAAACTCTACAGAGGACTCTGGAGTAAGAATAGGCAACTACAAAGTTGCAAAATAGTTGACAAGAGGAGGTGATCCATGGAGAGCCTCAGATCAACCATCTACCTAAGGACACCAGAGCCAAAACCTAGATGGCTCCTCACATTGGCTGATACACAAGTACCTCCCAGGAGAACGGAACTCATCACACAAGACAGTGACCTGCAGACAACACAGGCGGCCCAGAAGAAACCCACCTGATTGACTTTTTTTTTCCCCTCCTCCCTTTTTCCCTTAGGAAGAAGAGAAAGGGAAATAAGCCATTTGTTTTTTTTTCTTTTTAAACTGTATAATAATTAAATTTTTTTTTCTTATTTTATCTTTTCAAAGAATTTCATTTTGCTTAGCTTGTTTTTGGTTTTGTTTCTCTCTTTTGTTTTGTTTCTTTGCTTTGTTTTGTTTTATCCTTGCTTCTATCATCAAGACTTTCTTGATATTCCTGCTTAATGGCTGGGACTTTATCATTATAACCAACAAGTTTACCGCTTTTCTTTATAGTTTCCCCAAATCTTTTATTGGACTCCCTCCCTGCCCAGGCTTAATCTCTCTCTCCTCTCAATCCATTGGCATAAGGTTTTTATTTTCTTTTTTCTTCTTCTTTTCCATCTTGCTTTTGTTTTCCTCCCTTCTGTCTTCCTGTCTTTTTGTTAGTTTGTTAGTTTCTCTTATTCTATTTAATGTATTTTTAGTTTTTCATTTTCAACTACTATCCTATTCCTATTCTCTCCCTTAATTGTTTGCTGGCCCTTCTTTCAGAATCTTTTCTCTGCCTCTATTATCTTCCAGTAGTTCTCTATTTTTTACATTTTAGTTTATTATTATTTTCTAAATTTTAGTCACTATTAACAACAAAATACTTCTCTCTCTCTAAGCTTTACTTTTCTTTCTCTTTCTTTTTTTAAGCTATTTTTTTCCCTCTAGAACTTGTGTTCTCTCTTCACCCTCCCAGTTCTATTTTCACTTGGGTTGTCTTCATTGTGACTGCCAAGATATTTTGTAAGATACCCCTTGTTTCCTGGAAGTTGAGTTGGGTATTGTCCTGCCTTGCCAGCACTCATACAACAGCTTATACAATGAGGTTGGGGCTGAGACACACAGCCAACCTGAGAGGAGAGTCCTCGCAAGGACTGGTCAATAACTCTAGACCCAAAAAAAACAGGAGAACATAAACACACAAAAGAGACACCCACAAGAGGGACATGCCTAGAGCAAAAAGCTCAGAAGTATAAGGAAAATACACCTCTGGGCTCCACTGGTCTCACAATGCAAAGTCCCTCCCTGCAAGACTGGGAGATGGCAAATATACCTAATATATAGATACAAACACTAAGACCTACCAAAATGTGGAGACAAATAAAACAACCCTGAAATTAAAGAAAAGGAAAAATCACCAGAAAAAGACTTTGATGAGATGGAGTTAAGCAAGTGATCAGAAATAGAGTTTAGAGTATTGATTATGAAGATGTTCAACATGATAAGATCAAGAACCTTAGTGAAAACATGAAAAAAGAGATGCATACCATAAACAAAACTCAGACAGAGATAAAGAATGCTGTATCTGATATCAAGAATGCACTGGAAGGAATTAAAAGCAGGCTCAATGAAGCAGAGGACAGAATAAGTGACTTAGAAGACAAGGTAGAAAAAATCACTCAATCAGAGCAGCAAGAAGAAAAAACTCTTAAAAAGCATGAGGACAGCCTAAGGGAGCTTTGGGACAACATGAAATGAAACAACATTCACACATTATAGGAGTGCCAGAGGGGGAGGAAAGAGAGCAAGGGATAGAGAACTTGGTGGAGGAAATAATGACAGAAAGACCCTTAGTCTTTGTAGACCAAGAGACAAATGTTTTCAGTAAACTCAGAATATATTGAAGTTTTGTAATTTGACTCATACTGAACAAACGCACCAAAGAATTTTGGCCTAGGCCAAAATGCCAACTGGGAGGAGTTCTTATTCCTTGTAGCCAGAAACCTCATTCCTATGCTCAGAGCATTAGAACTTTACTGAGAGTTTATGATTATGATTAACCAGTTACCATCCACAGACTTCACTTCTCTAGTGATAATAATATGGCCATTCCTCAGATCTGTTGTCTCTACTCTGGGAATTGCTTGAAAAACACTCCACATTCTTCTTCATTGTGTCCTTATTTTCCAAACTATACACAAACCACACAATTTTTTTGTCTTCTTCTTCTGACAGAGGTTAATGAAATTAACTATGATATAACTTTGGCCATTGTTTTCCCAAAACTATATCCTGGTTGCCTTGCTTGAAATTTGGGTATTTCCTAAACTACTCAGTCACCAGAGTCAAATGCATAAAGCATTTACTTCTACTGCTTTCAGGTCTCATTTATTGAAGAATTGCATTGTTAATTTTATTTTAGGTATAGTTCTTTATTCTAGCTCTAAGATTTGGGATTAGCTGGACAGTAATGTCCCGGAACAGATCAGATAAAAGCCATTGGCATGTAAAAAAAATAAGAAGAGAGAATTATGATAAATAAATCAAATTGAAATAGAAAATTCTAATGCACAGGAGCATAAGGAGCATTATGCATGAATTAAGGAACCTAATTAAGAGAGAGAGCAAGTAAAAGCATATCAGAGACTGTGATCACATGTTAATATGGAAATAACATATTATTTAGAAAGGTAGTAAGGAAAAAGCATGTTAAGAAAGTAATTTATTCATTCATATTATTGAGCATATACTTATGTGCCAGGCAATACTTTGGGTCCTTGGAATTAAAAAATAAACCAGACACCTTAGCCCCTGGCCACATGGAGCTCATTCATATTCAATGGAAAGTCAGACAATTAAAGCAACCAACAAATGTTCCTGTAACTATAAATCATGGTAAGTGCAAGGAAGGGGAATAAACAGTGTGCTGTCACAGAGTATAATGGGAACAGAAGTGACCTATGTTAATTTAGTTGATCAAAGGGTGATTTATAAACTGAGAATTGGAGGATATAAAGAAGTCAACATTTGAAGAGTAGGGAGAAAGCATTCCTAGCAAAGGAACCAGCATGTGAAGGGACCCTGAGGTGGGAAGGAGCTGAGG